GAAAAAATTGTAAGACATTACAAAATGTCTATTAATTCTCGGCATTACTTGTAGTTATTAAAATGCAATAGCATTATCAGTAACGAATATTAGAAACAAAATGTGAAGTTAATTGTATGGATATTACTAATTGCAAATTCAATATGAGCAAAACAAAAAAAAAGGTTTTGGGTGTTACAAATATTCGCAGAAAGAAAAAGACATTGCCCTAATAGCGTCAAGACGCTGAAATCTGAACGGTTTAGATTTCTGCGCAAAGTTGCTGCACACGAGTTTGACACTCGACGTTCGACGCTCAAACGCTTCCATGTAATGGCACCTATACAGTACAAACGTCAAGTAGCCAGATATAATAAAACATAATTCAAAATAATTCAATTGTGGTACATATTTACGATAGAAAGCAATTTATTTAAAGTTTATCTTATATAATTTATAATTTAATTCAATTTTTTTATATTAAAGATCGTTATTATTAAGTTAAGTATATAAAAATAGACCTGCCCTTATTCCTATGAAATTAAAGATTAGATGAAAGGTTAATGAATCAAATTGAAACTTTATTATAAAAAAAAATAAATGTGATCACAGATAATATACCAAATATTAAATATTAAATATTAAATATTACTTCAATAAGATCTTTAATATAAAAAAATTGAATTAAAAAAATTGAATTAAAAAATTGAATTAAAAATTACAAATTATATAAGATAAATTTTAAAGAAATTGTCTTCTATCGTTAATACGTATCACAATTGAATTATTTTGAATTATGTTTTATTATACGAGGTGTGGCTATTAAATAACGAGACTGACGCTGCTACAGAAGAAGTGCGCATGCGCATGCGCATGCAACAAGCCACAGCTGTTATCGTGAAGTGTTTCTCTTTCGAATGCAGTGCCTCTCGCTTCTGTAAACAAATCAGTATAGCCGTAGCCTTCATTCGCATTAGAGTTGTTTTTTTGTTTCGCCGGAAAAATGTTAAGTGTAACAGTAGAGCAACGAATTGTTGTGAAATTTCACATGAAACTTGGAAAAACTGCTACTGAAACATATAATTTATTGAAAGAAGTGTATGGCAATGAATGTTTATCGCGCGCACGTGTTTTTGAGTGGTTTAAGCGTTTTCAAGATGCTCGAATGAGCAAATCAAAATTTAAAGCAATGATGATTGTTTTTTTCGATATTCATGGGATTGTGTACCTTCACTGGGTTCCGGAAGGTCAAACTATTAATCAACATTACTACCTTCACGTTCTTGCTGAACTCCGTGAAAGAATAAGGAAAAATCGACCCGAATTGTGAAAGGACAAGTCATGGGTTCTCCACCAAGACAATGCGCCGGCTCATTCCGCATTGTCTGTCAAGAGGTTTCTAGCCAAGTTCAGCATCCCAGTGTTAGACCATCCGCCTTAATTGCCAGATCTTGCGCCGTGCGACTTCTATCTGTTTCCTAAGGTGAAATCTGCCTTAAAAGGAACAAGATTTGAGTCCATTGAAGCTGTGAAAGAGAAAGCGGCACGCGTCCTGAAGGAGCTGACAGAGGAAGACTTCCAGCACTGCTTCGAACAATGGAAGACTCGCATGGAGCGTTGTAGGGATAGAGGAGGGGTGTATATTGAAAGTGATAATAAGTAAAAATATATGAAATCAAAATAAAATGTTTTACAGCGTCAGTCTCGTTATTTAATAGCCACACCTCGTATCTAGCTACTTGACGTTTGTACGACTTGCTCCATACGTCACTCCTTGCTCCGAATTGCGGTATGATACGGACGGGAGCAGAAGCAGCCATTGAATATATTAGTTGTAGTTGTATTACAACTAATACTATAATATACTACTCTGTCCGGATCCAGATCTCACTCGCTCCGAGCTCCCCCAAAGACAGAGCGCTGTTCGAGATCTACGAGATCTCTCATCCCGCAACACTCAAGAGATAGCGCGCGTTCCAGGTAGTATACAGGATATTCCGCGTAAGACGTGCCAAAAGAAAAATATAAGTAGAACAGATAAAAATAAACAAAAATTGTAGAGGTCATTTTTCAAACAATCACATAAAATTTCGAGATATTAATTAAAATAGTTGAGCATATCGGAGCGCGGAGACGTGGTAGGCGGGACATACGGCTCACCGCGGCCGGCGAAGAAAATGGACGAGCGCACACGTACACGGACGTACATACGGAGCTATCCATTTCCATATGCCAAACGGCTCACCTCTCTGGCTTATAAGATAGGCCCGCAAGCAATCGTCCATTTTTTTCACCGGTCGCGGCAAGCCGAATGTCCCGCCTGCCGCGTCGCCGCGCTCTTATATCTCCAACTATTTTAATTAATATCTCGAAATTTTACGTAGTTTTTTGAAAAATGACTTCTACAATTTTTGTTCACTTTTATCTGTTCTACTTATATTTTTCTTTTGGCACGTCTTACGAGGGACACCCTGTATATTTCAGTGTATATTATGTATATTATGTAGAATGTAAAAAATTCTAGAATTTGTCAAATGTCTCTGACCCTGAATCAACTTAGGGGTGCGTTCAGATTCCTCATCCGGGTGCAGTCTATTACTAGAAACACTATAGTATTTGTTACATATACTATAGCTCTTTTAGTAATAGAATACACTCGGGTGGGGAATTTGAACGCAGCCTAGGATTTATCTAGGACTCCTGTAGACCCTTAGCCCTATGCACAATGCCAGACAACAGGCAATAGGAATAGGCATTAGCCAATAGGAATAAGGAATAGAAATAATTGACCAATCCAAATTCCTATTTCCTGTTCTTATTGCTTGTTGTCTAGCATTGTGCATAGAGCGTTAATGACGTACTAGCGCTAAATAGCGCTGATAGCGTGCTCTCCGAACGCATAGATGAAGCTCGCTGATATATTATAGAGCTCACTGGTCCTGTGTTCACGCATTTCGATCGTGTAGCGAGTTCCGGTTTAACCAGAGGCTACAATGTCCTATGCATTTAGATGGGGTAGCGTTTTTGACGCCCTCGCCGGTTTAACCAGAGGCTACAATGTCCTATGCATTTAGATGGGGTAGCGTTTTTGACGCCCTCGCCGTATGACACCCAGTGTAGAACTAAGAATCAATATGGCCGTCATATATATAGCACACACAGACACACACACATGTGTGTGTGCTGTGTATATATGTGTATTCAATAGAAGATATTTAGAACCCGCAATAAAAAAAAATAAGTGGAAAATAAAAAGAAAACACTAATATAATACAACTGAAACTTGGAGTTTATTAGTGGTTAATTTAATGTTAAGTATTTACATCCTCTTGTAAAATAATTTTCAATTCTTTAACATTATTCGCATATTAATATTTTTTATTATTTTCCTTTTTTGTACTTCATTGAAAAATTTTTTGCTTCATTATAAATGTAATTAGTAGTGCAAATATCTTACAACCCTTATAGAAATATCATACTAAGAATCATTGATAATTACTTATTTTCAGTATTAAAAATACTGGATAATAAGTAATTATCAATGATTCTTAGTATGATATTTCTATAAGGGAAAGTCCCTTGTAATATTTTATTTACAAAATTGCACCATTGTAATATAAATTGATGCGCACATTCTTCTATTAAATAATCTTCACGTGAGATACAATGTAATGACATAGTTGAAAATGCCTTTAAATATAATATACTTTTTAATTTTTTTATTATTTTTACTTCATGGCAAAAGTTCACAATTTTTTATTCAGCGCTTTGGAGTGCGTGCTGTAAGAAATAATCAACGACATCTAGCACTAATGAGTAGAAGCATTAGAGAGGTAACAGGGCAGGTGGCGCTGCTAGAAGGAGAAGAGAGGATATAGAGAGGGTTAAAGAAGGAGAGAGGTTGTTGTTGTCAGTTTGGCTGGAAGGAGGGAATAAGGAGTTAGGGAAGGTAAAGACGAGACTAGATAGAGAATAGTAGGAAGAGAGAGAGAGAGAGAGAAAAAAATAGGATAGAGAAGTGTGCAGAGGAAGAAGTAGCTGAAAAGTAGTTTTGTGAGGCAAGGTAGTGTAGGCGGAAGGAGTTACCACGAGAAGAGAATCTGCGTGCTCGTGTGCGAATTAATTACTGTCAGAGAGACAAACAAGAGGTTCTCTTGTATCGTTATTGTGAACCCAAGATCGATGAACTGTATCAGTCTTGACTGTATCGAGCAATTAAGGGGTAACACCACTCTAGCGGCTGAAAAAGTAGCCCATTTTTGACAATTTATTGTGGAAGTATAGGAAAAGGAATAGAATTTCTTTTTATACAGTTCATTTAACATATATTAAAGTGTAAAAATAATTTTTATTATTATTTTGTTACAAAATGGCGGCGACAGAGCCAATCTACGTAATCATGTTTTTTTTAAAGGCCTTGACTGCCGGAAATGTTTCTCCTGAAATATGAGACCTACAACAAAAAACCAAAAATTTTTATAATCTACATACTGTTGCCTATAGAAGTACGTAGGGATTTTTTTTTAATCAATTTTTGTTAAAATGGTGCATGTTTTAAAAAAAACATCTATTTTTGACAAAAAATACGCCTAAAATTGTTTATAAAAAAAAATTTACATTCAATCGAAAAACGGCTACGTACTTCTATAGAGAATGCAATTGTAATGCTACTGTTAAAATTTCAAATAGATCCATGCAATAGTGTTGGAGTAAGCTTTCCGGCAGTTTATAAAAAAATGATTTTGAGAAAAACGCGTTTAAATTTTTACGAGCACTTAAATCCTTGAAATTTTTTTTACCTTCAATCTGCAATGCCTGCTCCATACATTTGGCCGTCTCTATTAATACTTGCCTCCTCTTCTTCCTTCCTGGATGATTTTATAGCTAATCTGGCCTCTTTAGCAGCGTCTGTTAGCGATCTGTCCGAAAATTGAATGCGTCGCTCGTCTGCTTCCACGCAGAAATTATAGCATTTTGGCCCGATTTTCATGCCCAAATTCCGCATGAGTCTCATAATACTTGATAGGCCATCATTATAAATGCCTGCAGCAATATATACCGCAGTATCTAATACATGTTTGCCACTAGAAGTTGATTTAGACCACACGACCGCATTGAAACTCTCGTTGCTATTTTGAGTAAAGCCGCCTAAACAACGAGTAAGCAAATCTTCAGACGTTAAATCTTTATAAATTGGATAAATGGCTTTATAAACTTCTTGTGGGAGAGTTGGCTTATGCTTATAACTTGTGTCTCCAGTCGCCTGCGCCGGGTGTATATCAGTTGGACACGGGGCAATTGGACACAGTCCAATCACAAGTCGCTGTTCCAAGGGACCCTACAAATGCCTCTAATCACACGGTGCTGTGATTGGCTGTGTCCAAATGCACCGTGTCCAAGTGCACCGCTCCCGCCTGCGTTCTCTGCCACGAGCACCATGAATTTTCACCACGCGGGCATTTATCGTGCATAGGTTTTTCATCTGTCGACAGTTTGTGGTTCAATGTTGCGTAAATGGCATTTCGCATATTCTCCACCGAATCGTGATTTCTGCGTATTGCTAAGCCATAATAAATTGCCAATTCGTCAATCAGTTTTCCGGTAAGCTTACCTTTTCCTCCGAGACCTTTTGTATTTTTTTTTTAAATTACGAAGGCGAGAGTTTATTCGTCTTTGCACGTGATCAACATATTTTTTCTTCGTTACAGTAAAGTTTTCATAAGGTTCTGCATCTAAAATACCTTTAAATGTTTTTGAATCATCATCGCCTATATAATTAACATACTTCAAATCGTGCAAGGATTCAGAGCGCTGGAATATTTCAATAACTGCATCCACTTCCATCTTTCCCGCTGAGCCGACGTGGTTTGCTTGGCATTCGTTTTCATGAGATGCGGCCCATTCTTTGTACTCTTCGGTGTCTTTTTTTTTTCCCAATACTCACAAGCCTTGCAATATTTAAATTTTATTAAAACATCGACCAGTTGGCCAGTATGCCAACCAATGAGCGAGACGAAGCCGAAAAGCGAAGAAAAGCCATGCTTTCTCCATGAGCCATCACCAGAGACTGTAATGCCATTTGAGAGGCCCTTCTCAATACTTGTAACTTTCTCTTTTTGAGCTGCAGTTTTCATACTCTGCTGGCAAACCTTCTCTGCTTCAACAGAAATTTTCTGCACAACACGATCATAAAAAGATTGAAATATTGGACGGGGAAGATCCATAAATGCACAAAACTTCATTATGTCATTTAATACTCCCAAAAGCCGCATAGCTAAAATGATTCTACGGTTAATGTCATATCCTTTTTCGATGAATGGAGAACTGGGTATAAATATTTGATCACACTCTACACAGGTAATCACAATTTTAAATCCCAAGCCACGCATTCCACATTCGGTGAATTTTATATCAGATTTGCATTTTTTGCACACAACTGCCTGCGATATAGCAGTGAACACTGTTAAGAAGTCCAAAATTCTGTATCCAAAGCCTTCTTGTATTTCAAATTCATCTGGATTAGGCGCTGATAATTTTTTAGCTGATGTGCTAGGACTTTCAACATTTGGCTTCTCTAACTCGTAACGGTTACTCGGCCGACGCCCTGATATTTTTAGTCTTTTCGAACTGGAGGAACCGGTCCTTTCAGCCTTTTTTCCACTATACACTCGTTTTCCACTATTCATGTTACTTTTATTACACTTTTCAAAAAAAAGGAAATACTAATAATAATTTATATTTATACAATATTCATACAAAGACAAAAATTTAACGGACACGTGTGTTCGGCGTTAACTTTGCAGCTGTACTGACTCACACATGCACGTTTATTATACAATTACGCACCCTGGTGGACACCTAAGGAATTCGAGAGACCTTTGCTCTACAAGTAACAAGGTCGCTTATAGTTTCGGCAGGTAAAAGCAGTATAAAAGTGAGCGCGTCGCCAGATCGTTTCAACGCGCTCAACGAGCGCTCCGACGTTCTGCGGCAAAATCAAGAATTAAATTGTTTAAAATTTTTTTTTCATTACAAAATTACTTGGATACTATTTTAGGGCCTTAAACTATTGTTTAAGCCAAAAAAAAAAATCGATTTTTTGAAAATTCTAGAGTGGTGTTACCCCTTAAATATACTTTTACGTTGTGTTGTACTGTTAACCTACGAGTGTATATTATTTCCTACAATGCTGTATACTTTTCAAAGTATCTGCATTTTGCAAATATTGTGCACATTGTTTTGTAATTTTACGAATTACAATATTTATAATTTTTTCTGTATCAATATATAAATCAGATGTTGGTAATGATATTGCATTTTCTGCACAGTCTATTTCATCATTTTCTTCATCACTTATTTCAATCATTTCTGCTGCCGAGATCATTTTAGCAAGAGATAATGATGTACCTTCGTAATTTTCTTTACAATTTGAAGAAAGAGAATGCTTTGATGTGAAATTAGTAGTGATAAGTGTTGTAAATGAAAAATTGATGAGGATTTGGATTATTATTCCTATATTTGTGACTTCTAATTTGACTAAAACAGTTTTCAACAGGGTCTTAATTGACATATCTTAAATTTAATGAAGAAAATTCTAACTTCTGTAACGTATTCCAAAGGTATTGTACTCCTTCGATGGAGTGGGATCCGATTAACCACGGTACGATTGGACACAGATTATAATGATTGGTTCGATCTGGTAATTCACTAGATAATTTTTTTCACCGATTGATGGTGTCCAATCGTACTGTAGTCAAACGCTCCCCCTTCGATAATCTATATCCAATTCGCAAGATATTTGGTGTTGTGTCGAATATATTTATGAATTATGTTATCAACAAAGTCCATCTTGCGAAGTATATTGAGCCAAAATGGTATATGATTACTTGAGGAAGTAATGACACTAGAATATTTTTTACTTTCTTTTCCGTTGAAAGAATCAAATAAATCGTCAAAAAACAATAAAACATCTAACGTTATTGCAGCACTAGATGGTAAGTGCATATCTCCTTTTGTAGTCTTTACAATACCTACAATGGAAAAATATATTTGAATTTTATGTTTATTATACATGTGATGTAAGAGAGTATCCATATTTTTCATTTTATTTTTATATAATTATTACATCTTACCTTTATTGCACGTGATTACCAAGTCTATGAAATTTGCTACCGTGTGATTTAGTACCTGAGTAGCACACTTCACTTTCATTTTTGGAATACGATCAGCAAAAATGTGTGTCATTTAATTTTGGCATTTGCCACTGTCGTAAAAAGAAATATTTATCCATCTTATATGCAACAATAATATCATTCCACGATACATACTGTTTCATTGACTCTTTCTTATATTTATTTATTAATAAATCTTTAGTTAATAAATTATTACGTATTCCTTTCTATAGATGTACGTAGTCATATAGCGGTATAATTTCTTGATTTCCCACAAAAAATGTATTCTCTGTTAAGAAATAAGTCCATAAGTCCACACATACACACGCATATATAAAATAAAATTGATATTGTATAATTGACTAAATTAATAACTTTAATAAAAAATTACAAGTTAAGCACACTTACTTACGCGGCTTATGACGTGTATCATTGCTTTCTTTGATTAGCATATTAATAGTTGCAATGTTTGGTCCACCTTGATCACAAACAGTCACTACAAATTAAATCCACATTTTATAGTAACTGTTATCCATTGTTTTATTCATCTAATAAGTTGAAAACTGCGAGTCGCACCACTACAGATCCAATAGGCATACGATTACCAGATGCAAGACATCGAATAAAAAATAAAATTGCATGATCTACAAATTTTCTGTTTCTTCTCATTTCCCAATCTTCAAATTCAATTATTTTGTCTGTTTTCTTGTTATAATAAATGCCTGGTTGCAAAGACATCTCATCCTAGATTATAAGTATGTTTAAATCTTTGACATTTATTTCTTTTGCGGTTAATTTTAAATATTTCAACAAAATGGTATTGCACCCAGTGTCAAAAGGAATCTTTTCCAATTGTTTATTTAACGTATTTACGGAGGGGCATAGGAGATACTTAGAAAGAAATGTATAAGATGAGCATGACCTACGATATAAGCTCAGTCAGAACAGTTTCTCTTCTATTGTGTAACGTTGAGCCTATTATTAAAATAATTATATACAAATATGAAAAATATAAAGTTAAAAGTTTAAAAGTGTTTCAACAACAAAATATCAATAATACAATAATATGTATATTATATTTAATTATATGCAGCTAAAAATATTTTATATTAAACATTTACATACAGAAGAAGCATACATACAGAAATAAGTACTTGCTAAATACAATTATTTAGTGATTATTAAATGATTATTGTCTGTAATTGGAGCATGCTTTTAGATTTTTAATATATACAAAAGATTATATCAATATTATAAGAATTACTAAGCGCTTACCAAGTGCTTACTTCTAAATGCAGCTATTTTACAGGATATTGTATCAAGATTATGGACCCCAAAAAATTATTTAATATTTATGATTATAATCATACAAAGAAATAATTACTATAAAATATGATCAAGAAAATATATAGATATAGATATGCTATTTCTTAGTCAAAGGAATTGGAATTCACCTGTGGTACAGCATCATTATTCTTAATAATCATGTTGACAAACTGCTGTCACACATGTACTGTTCCATTACTATTTCTTTTACTATTGTTTAATTGTACATATTTAACCGCATTTTGTTTCTTGCGTATATCAAGCAATCTTTTTAATCACATTTTACTTTTTTTCATTTTCACGATCTGTTTATACAATCTCTTGGCTTTAGGACTTAATAAGATTTTTCGAGTCACTTCTTCTAGATGAGGTCTTGAAATGAATTGTGTCTTGTGTATATTCAATGTCTTTTTTATATTTTCTAGTTCTTCTTGTTGTTTTGCTAACATTTCTGTATGCTGTTGTAATATTCTTTGCTGCTGTTCTAAAATTGTGCAATTTGTTTCTTTTTTATGATTTCTGTGTTCTTCTTCATTTTGCTCTTCCTGTTGATTATCTTCTTCATTGTTAGAATCTGTTATAGCAGGAATTGTTATTGAACTTTCTTCGTTTCTTTTCAATATTTCTATATTAACATGTAGTATTGCAAAATACAACAATACTCTTCTTGTTGATGAACCGCTATAGTCTTCTTCTCGAAAATGCTTATGTCATACTCTAAATTTTTTAATTTCTTTTTCTTCTAAATCATGTCTTATGCCCAAAATATCAATCCATTTTTTGCATTGTTCAACATCTTTCGGAAATGCGTGGCACATCTTTCCCTGAAGAACAATTTTGCACGATCTTACCATGTTTTTTTGCGCTGAGCAACTTTTATTTTATTATTATATTTTTTATACACTTCCAGCTCTCATGTTCATTTTCTTACTAATAAATAACATATATGCTACTCAAAACAAAACAGCCATATTGATTATTAGTTCTATTAGGCTGGGTGTTTTACAGCGAGGGCGCCACAAACGCTGGATACGAAAAATACATCAGAGATTATAGCCCCTGGGTTTAACCGCCGGCACGATAAGACGTGTCTGAACAAGTTCAGACCGGTAATTTTTGGAAGTTGCCTTGGAACCAGCCAAGGCCTTATTCATTCATACCTATCTTTACTAATGGTGAAAGGGCCACTTTCAAAGGCCTGTATATCAATTCGGATGGACGGATGAGTCGAGTGTAGCGGAAGGATGTATATCAAGGACGACATGGGGATCGTACCGCAGGACTTTATCGTATGCGAATTCTACGGAGTGGAGACCTGTTTCTGCTGGAATGTCAAGCACTCGAAGCTTGTTGCGTTCCCGTATGCAACGGATGAAACCTCAGCGCGCGACGTAAAAATTTTTTCGACGCCGGCTCCTGTCAGACAGATTCAGTGTTTCGATGGTAGGGTTTTCGTCCTTTGCGCTCCGCAGGGTGTCTACAAGCTATCGCGCAGCGGCGTGTTCGCCGTGTTGAGTAAGAATGCGTTGGGAATGGGCGCCGAGTTCTACGAGGTGCTCGTTCCCTATGAGGACCACATCAAACTTTCCAACAAACACAGCAAAGATTACAAGTTGTTGTTCAAGTATTCTCCCACATTGGACACTATCGAACAGGTGCACTCCCTCTCTTTGATCCCTGCTGACACCGAGGAAGAATTGCTCGAATGTTTCATCAAGGATCTGCAAAAGATAAGAAATGTTTGCGTGATTGGTTATGGTAGAAAGCTGTTTGCTTGGAACGGAAACGCTGTGCAATTGATATACACTGATGTGTCTGGTGTTATTTTGCGTATCGCGCCTGTCACGCGAAGAACCAAAGTCGCTGGTGTGCTGATTATTATCGATTTGAACACAGTGATCCTGATGCACAGCAGAGACCACGATCTAGTCTTCCAGAAAGTGTGGCTGGGAAGAAATATTAGATGTACCTCTGCGCTTTGTGCTAGCTTCTGTTCAGAACCTGAGAATGTTCTGTGGATCGTATACTGTGACCAATCCAAGTTATATTACATGAGAAAGGAGCTCTTCACAGATAAGATTCAAGAGATGAAAGAGCAAGAAAAGACATTCACGTGTATGCAGTATTATAAATCAAATGTGATCTTAGGTTTGTTAGATAGTAAGGAATTGGTGGAACTTTCTGTAGAGACATTGCAGAACTCTTTGCCAGTGAACAGTGACATTCAGCTTCATGCCAATATGTTTCAAAGTACAGATCTAATTATGGAGAGGATTTGTAATAAAGCCAAAGAATTGGATAAGCTGTATGAAAGGTTAGCAAATGAACAAGATAAATTAAGGAGAATAAATATGTATGCTTATAATCAGAAGATAGAAGCACATCCCAAAATTGAGATGTGCAGGCTGTGGAATCATAGTTATCTTACTTTATACATATCTGAAAGCTTACCAAAGAATAGCTATGTAGTATTTACCCTTAACTCTAAAGATCAAAGTACATTTTGCATAAAGAGAGTAACGGATACAACATTCACAGTAAAAATGCTTGTCAACGAAAGCAAAGTATTATATTCTTCGACTGTCAACATGGATTTAATCACACTAATGAATAAAGAAACTCCATGGTGTATCATACAAAACTTTATAACTTGTCCATCACAAAAGGAAGCAAGAAAAAGAGCGAAAAAGGAGAGAGATAAGTTAGCTTTCATAGATGCTAAAATAGCTTTGTTGCAAAATTTAATAGCAGAAAAAGATTTAAATATGACTAAATTGGCTGAGATTAAGAAAATTATACGAGCAGAACTGTAATTTTATTTTGTACTGCAATTTCAAAAACAACTAGTAACTTAAACTACATAACTTAAAGGATTAACTTCAAATTGAGTTACATGAAATATTTTTAATATTTAAAAAAATATTAAAAAATATTAAAATATTTGTATCATATCTGCCATTCTATATCAGATAATTAAGTTTTATATCTTTATACTGAAATCTTATTTTTTTAAATGTAATATTCTATCATATTATCTTGATACTATTAATAACATATATATTGCTTACATACTGTTTCACTTTCAAGAGACGATTACATATCCAGAAAATATCTATACATAATCATATAATCATATATGCAGCAATTAGATCTTTTAAAATATATTGATATTTTTTAATATGAAAATGGATGAGAAATAACACAAAAGTGCCATTATACAGAAAAAGCGTTATGGTAGAAATAATATATATATATTTTATAAAGATGAAATGTATATTATATATTGTGATAAATATTCTTTTCATATAAAACATTGTAGTGTCACATGTTAAATCTATTCTTTTTGTTATTAAAACCTTCCATTATGGGAATTACATATTTACTTACAATTGGTCTGTTCTTTTTAGCTGCAATGCTGAACTAGTGCAATAAGTTAGAATAAAATATACTTTTACTCTAATTTATTGCACTAGTTCAGCAGTGCAGCTAAACAGAACAGAACAAATAACATATTTAGGGTACGGTCCAGCGGGCGCATCTTTAGTTATTGTGAAGCATATCATTAGATGACCGCATCTTTAGTTATTGTGAAGCATACCATTAGATGTACAGACAAATTTTGGAAAACTGTGAAATTATATAATTCTTTATTTTCTTGAAATATAGATTTAATTACTATTATTACTACCGCTTGCTATGCGTGAACGATCGAAAACAGTTTGCTAAGAAACTCCTCGTTATTTCACGAGTTCTTTTTACATTTGGACTGAATTTTCGTCGAATAATATTCAAATGTCGTTTTCGCATTTTTTAAGGAATCTCACGGTCATTTAAATAAAAATCAATTTTTGAAACATTTAAACAAATATGCATATTTATCATGCGACACAATATTGTTGTCAATAAAAGAACAAATTAATTTGTACATATTTGCAGCTTTTTTGCTGGAAATCGAATAATGCAGCGTCGAATGTGAAATTGAATATGAAACTTCATTGATGTGAAGTTGTCACCTTTGTTACTACTGAATCAAATGAATTTTTAAGGTTATCTTAATTACGTCATAAATTTATCTTATGTCTTCAGTACACAGGACGCGGTAATAGGCCTGTTCTTTGTAGCTGCACTACTGAACTAGTGCAATAAGTTAGAGTGAGGAAACGTATATTTGTTTCACTTCAATATATTGCACCAGTTCAGCAGTGCAACTACAAAGAACAGGCCTAATGCTTGTCGCGCGGCGGAAGTTCGCGCAACAGCCAATCAATATGCTGCTTTCCGTAATAAATTTCTAGCTCTTACGGAAAAATAATATATTGATTGGCTGTCGCGTGGACTTCCGCCGCGCGGCAAGCATTACCGCGTCCTGTGTGCAGGAGCCATTAGATTGCGTTCCGTTTTATGTAAAATTAAATAAATTTAAAAATCATATTGAACTAAAATTTAATTTTAAATAATAAATTTTAATGTAATATATGTATGTGCGCATTTATCTATAGTTCATGTTACGTATATTGTAGGAAATGTGCGTATAATGCCTGAAATGGAACGCAGCCTCTGTTTTAGTTTTAAAATCAATACTACACGGAATGTTACAGCTTTATTTCATACAAATTCTTTTTAATTTGATCATATTTTCTAAGAGTGCTGAGAACAGACTGCTAGTAAAATTTAAGGATTATAGTGAATTTTTTAAACAAATTTCAGATTCCAAAAATTTAAATAACATATGAAAAGTTAATAAATTAAAACAGAATGTCGATGTTTCTCGTTTTTTTTACAAAATTCTATAGTAATTTAAAAAAATTTTTTTGTAAGCACACCATCACAAAAGAGCTGTAAAATATATTAAATTCAAATTGTTTATCCATTTACACACAAGAGAAAAAGAATTTCAAACACTCGTTTGTACAACCAATGGTTTTCACACAGTAAGAGTACATTTATATGAACTGATCTTTAACAGTCTGTACTAATTGCTCATAAGTCCTCTTATGTTTTGTTTGAAAAAAGATTTAAGTGTGCTTTCTTGGAACTGAAATTAAAATAAACAATGTTGAATAAAGATATGTAACTATTATTAAAAAAAAAGGTAACGTGCATGACAAATCTCTGAATAAATATGACAGAAGAAATGAAGAATATAACATGTAATACGATTATCTCTTTTTACATTCTACTTTTTCACTGTATTATGTACACTATATAAATCATCTCTGTAAAAAACGTCACGTTTATATCTTTCACGCTGTATATAACTTGATCTATTTGATGTAACAGTTTATTGTGTAATATACCTAAATCTATCATCCCCCGCCGCGACGGGGATGCACTTCGCGCGCGTTTTGAATATAATGTGTTTTTTCCTTCTTTCTTTACGTGTGTAATGTCTATTTATAGATAGTACAAAATATCAATAATATTCATCGCAGTTCTTTTCTTATTGATCCTTTTTTTTTCTTTTCTGTTTTGATAAGTACTTCGATCGACGATACATTCTACGAGAATAATGTCAGGTAGCCGCATGTTTTAACTTGATACTTCTCTACAAAGTTCCAAATAAAATTATTAAGTTTCGTTTTAAGTGTGTTTCCTTTAACGTAGAGGTGATTCGCGAGCAACGGATATAGATTGCGCATAGAGACGACGTTTCAAAGTCGACCTTTCTTCATTTATATTTCGATTATATCCGTGGCGTATCGTCAGGCCTATAGCTTAGTGATGGAATCACCTTATTAGCACGTACGAGCAGAAAGATCTGCTTTTTGATGGAAACGCTTTATGCCGACAATATTTACGGTGTTTCAAGTCGCTCTGTCGTACTTAACGTATAAGTATATATCGCGTTTAAGTATATTCTCAATGTATTACATAAAATGAGAACAACAGCGGAGAAAATTAGACTCCGGTGTGAACAAATATTAACAATGTTATTTATCGTGCCTACAACATCGTGTAACCAGGGGTTTCATGGCGCAGATGGCACGGGATCTCAAGCCATCAAGTTTCTAACGCGAAGCTGCTGGACATATGGCACGAAAAATCGTATAGAGAAGGCGAGTTTCATATATATATGGGATGTTCGACAATTCATGACACATCCGTTGTGTGCACAGGCAGAACTTATCAAGCCAATTTCCAAATTACTCCACCATTTTGCAAACACATAAAATGTCACATAAAATATCACATAAAATTAGGATTTTATCAAAGAAATTATTCTTATTGATCAAAGAAGATTGGTAAATGATTGCGCAATGATTACGATAGATAAGCTACGATGGCGACATTTGCTTATAGATTAGATTAAACTAAAAATTTTACGAATAACGTTGAAAATACGAACAAAACGAAAATACGGAAATACGTATTGAACAAAATTTTACGAATAACATTGATTTTATTTTTTTATTATTTAAAGAAAATCGCATGATTATAATGAACTTCTTTAATTGATAACTAAAAATCTACATGGTTATTTGTAAAATAGTAGAGGATTGTTTAGTTTAATCTAATATACAAGGCAAACGTCACACAGCTCATCGATTATATCGCGCGTGATCATTTACCGATCTTCTTTAATCAACAGTTCACAATTTTACGTTGTTTGCGAAATGGTAAAAGAATTTTTTTGTATTCAGTTTGACGGGCACTATCTGCACATAATGTGTTATGAATTGTCGGACACCCTGTACATATATATCTTAGATCTCAAATGTCTCTAAAAAAGTACACTCCGCTAGAAAACTATTCTTCTTAAAATAATTTACAATTCTCTTCTTTAGCAAAAATTTAATCTTTTATCTTCGCTCGTCGGAAAATATTATTTTTAGATGAAATATTACAACTCACGATTCAGCCATACAATTAAGTACCTCGTATAATATTAATTATACGATACCTCATATATATTAAGTTCACTGGGTTCACTAAAATGAAAAAAACTAATTTCCCTCCTATTCGTGTCCGCGTGATACATACTCTATCCGTGTGATCCGTTCGATTATGCTTAATTATAATATATCGATATTACGTGACTTGTGTCGATCGAAATGACTCGATTAAATTGTCGCTAAGGAGAAAACAAGCGTAAATCATCGTAAAAGAATAGGATCCCGCTCCGTTTCTTAATCTTAGTGATATTGCGAAAAGAATGGTATGCTCCTCTCGTCACTCGAACTCGTGTTAAAATAATGAATGCAGGAAAGTAATGGAGGAGCGTGTCGTAACATGATTGCTCCGGTTATGACAGGAATGTAAATATTCAATGCACACACGCTGACGATACTCAATCCCTTTAAGATAAAGAAAAGGAGAAAGGAATATTTTTTCTAATAAAGCACTTATATAGAGGATTTCTTATAAGGCACACACAAAACTCCACGTAATAAATACAGGTAATCATGTCGATTATGTATCAAGCCTTCTTGACCGCTCACTGGGCCGTTGATCTAACATGCACTCAATATCGCAGATATCTTATTATTCAGAAAATCTATAGTTACTAAAAAAAAAAAATTTTATCAACCGCAATCAACTACACCCATGTTTTTTTATAACTGTTAAATAATCGAGAAAGCGGGAATATGGAGTAACATTCAGAGTTGAACTAACGTTCCAACATGTTTCGTATGCGCATTTAGCAAGAGTACAGATATGTTAAGAAAAATAAGAATTTAATATGTAAAATTAATAGAAATAATTAATTAACGACTACTGATTGTGCATTACATCTAAATGGATAACTCTTTTTATTGAAGTGCACGAAACATAAAACTAGCAAAAAATATCATTTTTGCTTTCAAGATTAATCAAGTTTTAAGAAACGCACAGTTAAAAACTGATGCGGTTGATGCGAGAATATTTAGTAACTGTCGATTTAATGAATAGTAGCAAAGTATCCGCAGAATCGAGTATACAATATTTATACATTTTCATCCATGCGTGCAATGTAAAAATCGCAAACAAATGAACTATTCGCTCGATTTGAGAAACATAATCGTATCAAATGATGTAAACTGGATCGTTCATAAATTTCTCTCTCTCTTTCTCTCTCTCAGTCACTCTCTCTTTCTCCTCCTCTCGTTCATTTGTACTGCGTTCTAATATATACCATAGTTGTTCGATCGCATGACTGATCTCATACGTTTGTTTTTTCGTACGTTAACAAATTTCTATACTAAAATATATTTAGGATAATGTCGAGGCATTATTTTGTAATTAGCTAAAAACTGTACCCGTTCGTGCTGCGTATGGATACGATTGTGGCATGATGTTATAAATAGAAAATGGACACATTATGCACTATACGAAAATCTAGAAACCGTACTTGGAGAAGTTATGGCAGAAGATATCAATAGATTCGCAACCGTAAGACGAGAGAACTACAAGAAACAGACTTTCAAAGAGAACTGACACGTGTTACTAAAGCAATTCTTACAAGCTTTTGTTTATAATTGAACAAGCAAAGAGAGAGTTTGTAGTCATGAATATAACTCTTGATCTTATCGGTTACTATCTATTATAAATGTTATTAATATCTGTTAATTGTTGATAATTATAATAATTAGTTATAATAGATTTATAATATGTGGTATATAAATATATACATATAATTTATATATATATGTATATAAATATATATATACATATATATTTATATTTATACATAATATAAATTTACAATATAGAGCTAGCTGACTCTACACATTGGAGTCTTCTCTTCCGCGCGAGCTACAGAAGAGATAATTTTTAAGGTATTTTTAAAGCGATTAGACTACAAGAAAAAAAAACAAGCCGAGGTCGGGTACAGCCTCTAAGCCAATAATCGCTAAAAATACGAAGTATCGGGGCTCTTATCAATGGTTTTTCACGTGCGCTCCTCGCGGCGCGATAAATATCTAAAATAATTCGTCAAGTACTACCTAGTGCCACAGTAGCAAAATATGTCATGCCAGCATCTTCCGCTCTGTGTTGCTCGATGTTGCTTTCAATGTGGATTTCACCGACGGAAGCACAGAGTGTCGTCGGCCGTTCTGCATGTGTTAAGAATGATCTTGTTTGGTAGGCAAGAGATTTGTTCTCTCCTCGTCTTCGCTCGCCCTCTTGATGGACAACAATCTCGCCGCTTCTGAATGTCGTTCCAGAGTCTCCGAGTCTAAGTCGAGTTTGTTCTGAATATCCACGGGACTTGTTTGTACCTTAAATAATCGTATGCTACAATTTAGAGCATTGAAAACTAAAGATAAATATTTTAAAGAAAAAAATATTTGTGTGTATATGCGCGCGCATGTATATAAAATTTAAATTAATTAAAAAGTAAATATATGCTGTGTTTAAGGGACCCACTTCCGATGACCTTACTTGTCACATATATTATTAAGAACACTTTTCTGAGTAAGATTTAAAAGGTTTTAACCGTCGCTCATTGTTCATGAAAAATTTTTTAATTATTAACAAAATAAGTTTTATAAATTGAACATAATTTTTATATACAGTGTATATTGAAATATAACAGTAAACAGTATATGTATATGTGCGGGGAAGGGATCCCCGCACATCCTGTTCCTTGCGTCCCTTTCCCAAAAAAAGCTAACCCAACTTACTATTTATATACATCTTTATACATTTATACAATTTTTCAATGAGAAAAAATACAAAAGTACAAAAGATACAGAGAGAAAATACAAAAATGTAAAGGATGAGTTAAGTTGAGTTAGTTTTTTTGGAAAGGGAGTAAAGAGAGGAGCTCCGCCCCTTCCCGCATATACGCGTATACTACTGTTTACCATATTTCAATGTACGTTATGTATAAAAATTACATTCCATATATAAAAATACGATATATAATTGAATTTTCAGAAGCGTCAACTATTCTTAATATATTTTAACATCTGGGACACATTATTTAATTGCAAACGATTTTTTTCCACACAAGAAATTCCACAAAGATTCGAAATTGTATGTCATATGAATAAATTCGTGTAAATATATCTTCGAAGTTCACGAAACTCTGTTGAAATTATTTAAGCGATTGACTGGCTATATCACAAGACAGTGACTAAAAATAACATTGAGTATAACATACCAAATAAGAATGTTTTACATATTTAAACAAAGAAATCAAAGGAATAAGTTTCGGAATGTAGTAAATATATTTGTATATAGCACGTGTTTACTCCTTAAATATGTACACGGTGTCGGAAAATTACGTTCCATTTATGAAAATTCTTTTATAATTTTTTAATAAACAATGAGTGACTAAAACCTCTTGACTATTACTCAGGAGAATCTCTTTGATAATATATGTAACAGGTAAGATTATTGGAGATGGGTCCTCTAAACAACATATTTCAATAAATTGACAAAATTGACAAATTGACAATTAAAATAAATTGACTAAAATTTGATGTAAATCTCACTATTATAAGCAAACAAGAGCACGTTAACATGTTGATTGCCAAAATGACATTAAGGAAACATCGTATATTTTTGACGCGTCTTGAAAATCAGTGTTATTTTAATATGCTAATTAATTATATTTTTCATAACATACATTTATCAGTGCCGACAAATTAGATAGATTTTAAAATTACGTTTACGTGGATTGTTTATGCACTTTTTGTGTACACGCATATACACACGATCTTCTTTATGTAAATAACATAAACTACATATAATATAAATTATATTAAAATATACAGGAGAGAGGGGGAGATAGAGGGTGGGTGGGTGGGGTGTGGGGAGAGAGAGAGAGAGAGCGAGAGCGAGAGAGAGAGAGAGAGAGTATGGAACAGTTACAGTATTCGGGTTATTAATTA